GCCCCGGCCTGGCCGTCGCTGCCAGCGCCCGACGCGAGCGGCAACAGCACCAAGCCAAACCCGCTTGTGCCCCCGCCGCCGCTTGAGACGCTGCCGGCGCTCCCGTCGCCGGCCGCCGTGCACGGCAGGGCCGCCGCCGCCGCAGTTGCCGCGTCCCCTGCCAGCCTTGCCGCTTGCCGGGCATCCCCAGGGTCGAGCCGCCGGCAGCGCAGGCGCTCGCACACCACAAGCGGCTCGTTAGCTTCGAGCGTCGCCGCGAGCGCGGCCGCGTATGAGTTCGCGCACCGTGCCCGCCGCCGCAGCGGTGACGGCTGCGCCCGCCGCTCCCGCTCCTCGCCGCCGCGCAGCCCAACTTCTTCCGCTGCCGCGGCCCCCGCTGGCTCGGTGCCGCTGCCCTCGCCGCTGCCGCCGCCGCCCCAGCCCTCGGCGCCCCAATCCGCCAACACGGTGCCCGCGCGCCGCGCACCCAGCCGCGCCGCTGCGAGCAGCGCCAGCCCCGCCCACGCGCCCGCCGCCGCCCAGGCCGCTGCCTCCCCCGCCTCGTCGTCCGCAGGCGACTTAGCCAGCGGCGGCGGCAGCAGCACCACCGCCTTGCCCTGCACTAAACCCCCCCCTTCCTCGGCAACCCACCGAGCTAGCCGCGCCACCGGCCGCCAGGCACCGCCGCCGACCCCGGCGTCCCCGTCGCCTTGCATCAGCTCCGCCGCAGACGCGCAGGCCTCGGCGCAGCAGGCGGGCACGCGCCAGTTGGTGCCCAGCAGCGGGACAACTGCGTACTGCTGCGGAAGCTGCCGGTCCTCCTTGCCGTCCTCCTCCTCATCCACCGCATCGTCGCAGCCCTCATCACACGGGGTGTCATCTTCCCGGGATCGGTCCTTGGTGTGCTGCTCCCTTTGCTCAGCCTCCTGCTGCTGCTGCTGCTTCTGCTGCTGCTGTTGCTGCTGCTGCTCCTGCTCGTGCTGCGGGTGCTGCTGCTGCTGCGACTGCTCCTGCCGCTCCTGCTCCTGCTGCTGCCGCCCGGCCGCATCCTGCGCCCCCACGCCCACCGCCCCACAGCCCGCGCCGGCCGCGCCCGCAGCCAGCCTGAACACGGCCTGCACCCAGCGCCGCCTCATGCGCACGCCGCTCGCGCGGTTGACCACCTCGCGCTCGTGGACAGCCATGCTCTCGCACACGAACCCGGCGCCAGCAAACAGGCGCTCCAGACCCTCCTGTCGATTCACATGGTAGTTGAGATTGGCCATTGTGAAGAGGGGCAGCGTGCAGGCGGCGAGGGTGGGGTTGGTGGGGGTGTGAGCAACGGCCGGTGGGTGCCGTTGATTGGGCGCACCCCGGCGTCGGCGCAGTGGCAGGGAGGCCCTGTGCCGTTGTGCACCGGAGGGGCTTGTGCTGCCAAAAAGGAATCTGGTGGCTGGATGAGGCAGTGCAGTGGCCATGCAGTACAGGTCACTGTACTGCACCGCTCGAGCCGACCAAAGCAGGCGGCAGGCCAAAGGGGGCAGAGGAGCGCGCGCACGGCCTTCGCATCATCGCCCTGCCTCTTCAAATCCGGCCCAGCCAGCCCTTCCCTCCTTATTCGCCCCGTGCTTCATCCCCACACATTACAAAAATGCAATCCCGATAACATGCAGTGCAATCTGCATAATGCCAGGCCGTCACATGCAAGGCCGCTCTCATCCAGTGCCCATGGGGAGGAGGCGCGGGGGCAGGGACCTCACATTGTCAAAGTAGTAGCAAAGGGTGCCGTCCCCCCGCACGTACAGCGCCCCTCGCAGGCGCTTGCCCTCTGCAGCTCCCGCCAGGCGCGACTGTGTGGGGGTGTGTTCATGTGTGGGTTCATGTGTGTGCGTGTGTGTGCGTGTGTGTGTGTGTGTGCGTGTGTGTGTGCGCGTGTGCATGTGTGTGCGTGCACGCGTGCATGTGTGTGTGTGTGCGTGTGTGTGTGTGTGTGCGCGCGTGCATGTGTGTGTGTGTGTTCGAGTGCGCGCGTGCATGTGTGTGTGTATGTGTGTTTGTGTGTGTGTGTGTGCGTGTGTGTGTGTGTGTGTGTGTGTGTGCTGGTGTCGACATAGTGAAGGCAGAATCTGAAGCAGTGTTGGTGCAGTGAGCAAGGAAAGGTCGGGGCTGCGAGGCACACAGGGTTCTCCAGGGCACCAGGGCGGCGCGCAGGGGCGCCAGGACAGCGCCGCACAAGGGCCGTTCTGCACTGCACTCTGGCCAGGCCCATGGCACCCGCAGGCGCCCTAACCACAGGTCAAAGCAAGGTCAATGCAAGGTCAATGCAAGGTCAAAACCACCAAATCACATCCGCTAGATCACAGCCACCACATTGCAGCCTACAGATCACCTCCGCCAGGTCGCCCCTCGCGTAGTCGCGAAATAGCACCCTCCCCACCCCTGGCTTCAGCGTCGCCGCCACCGCCGCCAGCGCGCGCGGCATCGCCTCGGGCGCGAGTGCAGACAGCACAAACACGAGGGTGGCATAGTCGACGCGGCCAGCGGGCACGGGGCCGGCCGGGGCGGCGAGCGGGGAGCCGGCGGCGTCGGCGACAAAGGCGGTGGCGCGGCCGGAGGCGGCGTAGGCGGGGTGCTGCTGGACAATCTGGCGGGGCGGTTTATCGGTTTGCGGTTGGGGTTTGGGG